TCTTATTCTCTGCCTCAATTTGTGGGAAAACTCAACCAAATTGGGGATTTATTAAAGAGAATACAATGGTACTAAATTTAAAAATAAAGTGACGTTAAAACTATTCTGTTGAGTTCATGTAAAAAGTTAGATCTTACTACTATGTTTTTATATATAAAGTGACTGAAGTTCAGAGAAGTTACTATTCCTATTCAAGGCCAGATGGATGTTGAACTCCAAAGTGCAACATTGTTCCTGTGTTACCAGGCAGCTCAACTGATGTTAGACAGGGAGACCCCTCTTCTCACAGCAACAGCTTGTATGCAAATGCCATGATGTAAGGGTTTTTTTGAGGGAGAAAAAAAGGTTCTGAGTAAGGCTAGAAATAAACCTCCATCTCACAGCACATGCTGGTGTTTGTGTATGTGTGTGTGTGTGTGTATCCTGAACCCTGCCTGAGGATGATTGTCACTAGCCACATTGAACAGGAAACACAGACCCATGTGCCTGAAGCAGGTGTAAGTAACAGCCTATAAACTTGCACACAATCTTAAGGTGACCCTCAGTGGCACTCTTAGAACCACCAATCCATCAAATCATGCCACCTTAAGACCAGTGAAGAATGACAATGTCATCTATTCTTCAATGCATCATTTCTCTGTTAATGAAACTGAGAACCAGAGATAAGAGGAAATTATAAAAATATTAGATTCTAGCCTTTTTGGTCAAATTGCATACCAATCTTCAGCTCAGATTGTTATGTATAGCATAGGACAACATATCAAGATGAACAGTCTCAGTTTACAAAATGTTAAAGAAAGAAATAGAAGAGGATACCAAAAAATGGAAAAATCTTTGATGCTCATGGATTGGAAGAATCAATATCACCAAAATGGCCAATCTCCCAAAAGCAATTTATAGATTCAATGCAATACCAATCAAGATACCGAAGACATTCTTCTCAGATCTGGAAAAAATGATGCTGAAATTCATATGGAGACACAGGAGACCTCGAATAGCTAAAGCAATCTTCTACAACAGAAACAAAGCCGGAGGCATCAGAATACCAGATTTCAGAACATACTACAGGGCAGTTGTAATCAAAACAGCATGGTACTGGTACAGAAACAGATGGATAGACCAATGGAACAGAATTGAAACACCAGAAATCAACCCAAACATCTACAGCCAACTTATATTTCATCAAGGATCTAAAACCAATCCCTGGAGTAAGGACAGTCTATTCAATAAATGGTGCTGGGAAAACTGGATTTCCATGTGCAGAAGCATGAAGCAAGACCCCTACCTTACACCTTACACAAAAATCCACTCAACATGGAATAAAGACCTAAATCTATGACCTGAAACCATCAAATTATTAGAGAACATTGGAGAAACCATGCAAGATATAGGTACCGGCAATACTTCTTGGAAAAGATCCCGGAAGCACAGGCAGTCAAAGCCAAAATTAACATTTGAGACTGCATCAAATTGAGAAGTTCTGTACTGCAAAAGAAACAGGAAAGTGAAGAGGCAAGCGACAGAATGGGAAAAAATATTTGCCAACTATCCAACTGATAAATGGTTAATAACCAGAATCTCCAAAGAGAACAAGAAACTCCACACCAACAAAACAAACAACCCATTCAAGAGATGGGCCAAGGACCTCAATAGACATTTTTCAAAAGAGGAAATCCTAGTGGCCGAAAGACACATGAAAAAATGTTCAAGATCACTAGCAATCAGGGAAATGCAAATCAAAACCACAATGAGGTTTCACCTCACCCCAGTTAGAATGGCTCACATACAGAAATCTAACAACAGCAGATGCTGGCGAGGATGTGGGGAAAAAGAGACACTAACCCACTGTTGGTGGGAATGCAAACTGGTTAAGCCACTATGGAAGTCAGTCTGGAGATTCCTCAGAAACCTGAATATAACCCTACCACACAACCCAGCCATCCCACTCCTTGGAATTTACACAAAGGAAATTAAATTAGCAAACAAACAAGCTGTCTGCACCTTAATGTTTATTGCAGCTCAATTCTCAATAGCTAAGACCTGGAAACAACCTAAATGCCCATCAACGGTAGACTGGATGAAGAAATTATGGGATATGTACTCTTTAGAATACTATACCGCAGTAAGAAACAATGAAACCCAGTCATTTGCAACAAGATAGAGGAACCTGGAACACATCATGCTGAGTGAAATAAGCCAGTCCCAGAGGGACAAATATCATATGTTCTCCCTGATCAGTGACAACTTCCAAGCACCAAAATGGAAACCTGTTGAAGTGAAATGGACACTATGAAAAACAATGACTTGATCAGCTCTTGTCCTGTCTGTCTAGGAACAACTTAATACTTTATCCCTTTTAGTATTTTTTTGTTCTACTTACTACTATTGTTTGAACTCTGTAATTAACACACAATTATTCTTAGGTGTTTAACTGAAAACTGATCTCTGCTAAATATAAGAGTGGGAATAAGAGAGGGAAGAGATGTACAATTTTGGACATGCTCAAGCTGACTTGACCCAAATGGTAGAGTTAGAAATGTGTCAGGGGATTCCAATTCAACCCCATCAAGGTGGCATGTACCAATGCCATCTCACTAGTCAAAGTGAACAATTTCAGTTCACACTTGATCATAATGAAGGGATTAAGAGTCAAAGCGATCACATAAACAAGACTAGTGTCTGCTAATACTAACTGATAGAATCAAAAAGGGAGAGAACGATCCAACATGGGAAGCAGGATACACAGCAGACTCATAGAATGGCGGATGTGCTAAACAGCACTCCTGCCTCAGAATCAGCCCTTAAGGCACTCGCATCCAGCTGAAGAGCCCATGAGAGTATTTTAGGTATAGAAAACCAAGGCACTCTGGCAAATAAAAAAAAAGAGGACCTAAATGAAAGATCTCTGCGAGTGAGATCCCAGTGGATAGAACAGGGCCATCAAAGAAGGAGGTACCTTTCTCTGAAGGGAGGGGAGAACTTCCACTTTGACTATGACCTTGTCTAAATAAGATCAAAGTCAGCAAACTCAAAAGGCTTCCATAGCCTTGGCAACTCATGACTGGAGTCTAGAAAGATTACTGACACCAGAAACAAGAGTGTCCATTTGTTAAGTCAACAACAGGAGTCACTGTGTAGTTACTCCTCATGTAGAATCTCTGTCCTTAATGTGTTGTTCAATGTGAATTAATGCTATAACTAGTACTCAAACAGTATTTTTCACCTGTGTTTCTGTGTGGGTGCAAACTGTTGAAATCTTTACTTAATATATACTAAATTGATCTTCTGTATATAAAGATAATTGAAAATGAATCTTGATGTGAATGGAATGGGAGAGGGAGTGGGGGATGGATGGTTGTGGGTGGGAGGGAAGTCATGGGGGGGAAAAGCCATTGTAATCCATAAGCTGTACTTTGGAAATTTATATTTACTAAATAAAATTTTAAAAAAAGATGAACAATAACATCCTCATAACAAAGAAAGGACCCTGAAATTGGAATGCAGCTTTCTCTGGGTTGCACTATAACAAAGGATCATGACTGGTGCTGAAATGATCTTTGGTTCCGGAAGGTGCTTTTCTTTGAGCTCCCAGATTCTCCTGAAGTCAGCAGGTTATCTGAGCAGAATGCAGCAAGACCCCAGCTCTTTTGTTGCCTCAGTGTAAAGTGCTTCATCTCCCATTCTGGTGGGGGGGAGCATTTGAGCTTCCACTTAGAGGAGAGTAGAACAGGGAAAGAAAGACATTGAGACTAATTCTAGTTCATTGTAATTCTGATGGCATTATTTTCTTAAAGGCTTAAATTTTTAAGAATTGATTTTTTTATTATTTGAGAGAAAGAATGAGAAAAATAAATCTTTGATCTTGCTGCTTCACTCCCCACATGCCTGCAACAACTAGGCTGGGGCCAGCCAAAGCCAGGGACCCAAAACTCTGTCTCGTTCTCCCAATTTGCTGGCAGGATTCCAACTACTTAAAACCATAACCTGCTGCCTGCCAGAGCGGTCGTTAGCAGGTAGATAGAATTAGAACTGGGCCTCCAACTTAGACATTACAACATGGGATGCACTTTTCTCAAGCAGACAATGATGCTCTTTTCAAAAGCCAGACAGAATTTCAACCCTTGTGAAAACTCCTGACTCCCTGAGAACTGCCTGGCTCATGGATGCAGAGTTTTCTAGTCAGTATCACTGGGGATTCATTCTATGACATTGATCAGACTACCATTTCTTTATCTCAGTTTCTCCACCCATAATCTGATGATAAATACCCCATGCCTCCCAGCAACAACACCAAGGTAACAAAGCATGAATATTGTAATTATTTATAAATCATTTGGTGAAACATGATATGAAAAATATCACTACACTCAAGATATCCCCTGACAGAAAGACTTAAATGGGAAACCTATTGCTTTCTGTGTAGAAAATGCATCTGATGTGGTATATAATTCTCTTTCAGAAAAATGCCTTTCATACAAGGACCTGGATACTTCATTAGTTTTCTTTAAGGTATCCAAGACTGTGGCTGGCAGACTGTGGGTGCAAGACTTCAGGGACCTGTGTTCCTTTCCCTATACTTTTACAACTCTATTAATTAAAACCAGGAGACAAAATAAGATTACAGGGTTCCCCAAACTTGGATTGTCAAATAAAATATATGATATGAGGATATATTAAATTCTAGGAAATCAATAAAATATATATATATATGTTTTCAAAAAGTTCGTAGAAAATGGATTAAAAAGATGCATTTCTTTTGGTGCAAAAATTTTTGAAATCTATATATATATATATTTCACAAGACAAATTATCCTTGAAATTTTTTTAAACATTTTATTTAATGAGTACAATTTTCATAAGTACAACTATGGTCTTCTGACCATACCCATTTACCCACCCTCTCTCCCATCCCACTTGCTCCTCCCTCTCCCATTCCCAGTCTCCCTGGTCCACACCTCTGCCCTACTTCTGTCACTTCCCTTTCTTATTTGCTCTTTTAGCATGGACCTGCATAGTCTCTGTTGATCTCCTGGGCTTCCTGTTGTGAATTTCTCATGGCTCTATCTCTGGTGAGTATCTTCTCTCCCTTTTAATTATCTATTTTCCCGTGTGAGTTGGATCATCCTATTGCTATACGGCCATCTTGCGAGCCCCCTACCCCATGAACTTTTTAGTAACTCTTCTTTGTGTGACTTTATTTATTTATTTATTTCACCAGGAGCAGTGTTTGACTTAGTGGTTAAACCACCAATTGGAATGCTTGCCTCCCCTATTTTATTGCCTGAGTTGGAGTTTTGCCTCCGCTCCCAATTCCAGCTTCCTGATAATAAGCACCTTGTGAAGAAACAGGTGATGGAACCAGTAGTTCAGTACCTCCATGCACATGGGAAACTTACATTGGGTTTCTAGCTCCCTGCTTCAGCCTATTCCAGCCCTGGCAGCTATGAGTACTGCGAGAGTGAAACAGCAAATAGGAGCTCTCTCTCCCTCTCTCTGTCTCTCAAAAAAATGCACCAAAATGTGTTTTTTAACTACATTTCCACAAACTTCTTTAAGTACCCTTATATCAGTTGTATTAAAAATAAGTAATTATTTATATAAAATTCAAGTCTAGCTGAGTGTTTTATTGTTACTTACTAAATCTGTCAACTATGCCTCAAACCCTACTTATTTAATTATATTTCAGCTTAAACTGATGAAAATCTTTCGTGTAATGATTAAAAGACTAAATGATTTCATTAGAAGCAGATAACATAAAATTAAATTATATAGGGTTTCTGCAGCATTGTAAGCACTGGGTAAATGTTCCTTGAATAAATAAATGAATAAATGATGGATTGAATGAATTAATTAAACTGTAGAGATTTAAGATTGGTTAAGACATATATATATACACACACACACACATATATATATATATATTGCTGTTCTAAACCTTCTCTTTTTTTCCTGCATGGAATTTCAAAAACAGCTCACCAAGCTTCCCCTCCCACTACTATTTGCAGCTCTGTGTTGTCCCACGATTTCCTATCTAAACTGGTCTGCTGTGGCTGGCACCAGCAGATGACAATTAGTTATCATGATGACAATTAGTTACCATGCAATTTCTATATGAAAGTTTCTTCTAAAATGGTTAAATTAATTTAACTTTCTTAACTTGCAAGCTTTCACTACACTCAACAAACACTATTGAAGGCCTTTTTATGTACAGTGTATTTATCTTGGAGCTGAATTGCACCGTTAATTACTTACCAAGCTACTTGTTATTGATTCAGCAGCAAATTCTTCCTAGATCTTCAATTATAGAAACATTATAATAACTGCTTGCTGATTTTCAGTTTATCACTAAGTATGAAAAGCAGGAGCAGTGAGAATAGAGATTACAGAAAGATTTTGAAAAATGAGTGAGAAGTAAAGTTAGAAATAAGCACATGTAAGAGAGGAAAGAAATCAAGAAATATAAATCCTGCACGGAGAGTTGGAGTGCAGGGTTGTCGGCAGACCACATGGTTTCAAGTCCTGACCTCTTTCAAAGGTCTGTGATCTTTTTTTTTTTTAAAGACTAAATAATTTTAGTTTCTTCATAAATGCATTTCAACTAAGAGGTTTTTGTTCCTATTTTTATCAATCACAAATCGTGATAATAATTTTGAGTGTAATCATAATTTTAAGAAAAATTCAAAACGTTCACTTATTTTATAATCAAAGCATTAAATCATTTTGAACATTTGAATACATTTTCAAAAACTAAATAAACTTCTGTAAACATCTAGAGCACAGCCGGGACCTATGATTAGGAAGCCACAAACCCCTTTAGGCTTTCTTTCATTCACAGCGTTTTTGAATGGTGAATCAACTTTCAGCTGCTGGGTGCAGGGTGGTTACTTTGCATTACTGGTTTCCTATACTACTGGATTCAGTTTGGTTAACTTCTGGGGAAGATTACTGCATCCTGTGTCATGGATAAGATGACCTTTGACACACCCCTCTTTTCATGACTGTTTTCTAGTTCTGAGTTGAGGAACACAGCCTCTTAGTCTGCTGGAAGTGTGTGTGTAAAATTAGCATTATATGACAAGGTCTTTAGCTTATATTTATTTGAATTTGACAGTGAAACACCTGTCCTAGACATTTCCATTGTTTCCATATTATTATCGATCATTTAAAATATATATCCATGCAATGTGTATACAAACACCAAGCCAGTTAGGACAGCAGAGGTTTGAAACACGGAGGTTGATCAGCATCACCTGAGGAGCCTGTTAAATCAAACACTGCTGGGCGCCACCTGCAGTCTTGGCTTGAAAAGGGGTGGGCTGAGCTTCTGTGATCTTAAAAAGCTTACCTACCCTCTGAAAGCACAGCCTGCGAATGCTGGGATAAGAGTAGACCCTATGCATGAGGTCAGTGTTGGCGTTGCACAGACAATGCACCGGGAGCACTTAACCCCATCCTACCAAGAGAGGCACACTCTACTTGTCAGTTAACTTCTATCACAGGTCTTTGTATTCTTATCAAAGCATGGGGCTAAGGTATCACCTCTCCAGGGACTTATTTACTTGAAACAAGTAATTTAAAAATGTATGTTTCTATAAAATCAAGCACAGTGGTATCCCATTTACAAATTATATCCTATCTACTTTATGGTCCATAACATGTTGCATTTATAATTCTCTTATAAATGAATGTAAAATACATCTTTTCATACAAGGCTAAGGCTCATTGCAGCTACATTGGGCTCTGTCTCTAGAGGTTCTGGGTGCTTTATTTTCCTCTACTATTAAAGTAATGGCAGTGAAAATGTTGGAAAAAACTTTTGGGTAAGAAAACAAAAATAACTTAAGTGAAGTATGAACTTGATTGAATGCTCAATCAATAGTAACTATTATTAGATTCCAGCATTCTCATGCTTTTTAATATATTTAAATTCAACAAATAAACAATGAAGCAAGATTTCATTATTTCCAATTTAGAACAGAGATCAAAAAATCTCTCCCAGGGCAGTATAATTGGAGAACTGGCTGAAGATCCCCGTTTGCTGATGCCAAATAACTTGCCTTTCATCTCCCAGCACCTCATTCATGGAAAGGTAACCTGCAGTCAAGTCCAGCATTGTGGAGAAAGTGACCCCATCTGAAAAGAGAGAAAGATTTCAGGATGGAGTTCTCACTGCTTCTTGCTGGAAAGTGAGCTAGGCAGCCAGACACGGTCCCTTTTCTGATAGTAACGTCAATAACCAGTAACATAAACTCATAAGCTAAGCAATGATCATTACAGACTTGGACAAGGAAGCACTATTAACAGAAATGATAATGATCCTCAGAACTAATTGTTTCTTTCTATCAGAGGGCTACACTGGGAGCGTCAGTGTAGACAGAATGGCAATGGGATGCTACATCCTCTGGAAGACGGAGCTTCCTGTCAGGGTCTGGAGGTAACATCAGTGAGTCTCGCTCTGCTGGCAGTGTTAATTTCAAGCTCTGTTAAATACATGAAATAATAAGTGTATGATATCTTATTCAGAACAAAATTACAACACCATTAACTGCTTTACCAGCAGTGAATAAATTACCCTCTGACATGTAGTTTGCATTGGTCAAGCAAAAAGAAGGTGCGGGAGGAAATGGAGGTTCGGATTTGCTTCTTGCTATTTCCCTCAGCCTCTGTTCCCCTGTCTTCCTTGCCTCTGGTCCCTGAGACAAACAGCCTTGTCCTGTCTGAGTCTTCCCTCACCCAGCCTATCACTACTCACTACTGGTCCATGGACTCACTCTTGCCGATTTGGGAGGTTCTCTCACTTTAGCCTTCTCCATCAATCAGAGGGCTGGCCCAAGTCGGGATGACTCAGCCCCAGGAATTTCCCATTCTTGAGCCCCGTTTCTGAGGGATGTAGATGTTTCTGGCTGAGTGTTCTCTTTCAAATTCAATTTTCTAACCCAGAGAGACTGTGGCTCAGAAGGGCTTACAGATCAGATCCATTTCCAGCTGTTTGTTTTGGATCCCTTGTTCCAATCTTTGGACTGAGGAAGTGCCATGGAAAAAATGACTCCAATTTAATAACCCTTTGTCTAACATCATGTCGGCCTTTTACTTTTATACTTCCAAACCTTGTTGCCTATTCACAAAGCACTCATCACTTGCCTGGTTATGAATATAATATGTGATATTTACACTCCTACTCCTATTGGGAAACCATCAGAAAAGTAAAACAGGCATCAGGCTGAGAAGGCACAAAGATCTGGAGTGAAAATCTGTGTGAGTGTTGCCTCTTCTTTGCTTCATTATCTTAAAAGTCAAGCTAAACTATCCTAAGCCTGCAGAGCTGTCATGAGGATGGCATAATGTGAGCGCTCTCAACGCTAGGGCCACAGCAGAACTTCGCAGAAGGTTTGTTGAAGCACAGATTTCCTGGCCTTACCCCCCAGAAGTTCTGATTCCAGGTTTGGACAGGTGCTTAAGAACAGGTACCCAGCAGTGATGCCACTGAGCACATCTTGAAAGTCACCAAACTATTGAAAAACAAAGGCTTACAAAGGTGTAGCCACCTGTGGGTAGTCAGAATGCTCTCTCACTCCTACCTTTGTATTCTCGCATATTCTTGAATAGATCCACAAGAGCTCTCTTGCTCCAAAGCCTGTTTAATCTGATGTGTCTAACTTTGGCACTCACATCGACCAGTTCATATGTCTGTTCTGTGCTTAGTTTTTTACTGTCTGAACTAATCAGTTTCTATTGCACCCGATTTTTTTGGTAATATGGCATCTCTACCCAGAATTCAGGATCTTAATATCCTCTCTGTTTCTCCAATTTTCAGCTCCATTTGGCCTCTCCCCAGAAACTCCCTCCCACAATTAGTCATGCATGTCGCAGCAGTGGAGGTGTGAGACTGGATTATTTTCTGCTCCAGGTGAAGGCAGAAGAGCCTCTGAACTCTCCCTGCTCCAGAGCTTTTGAATTGCAACGTTCTGTTAAAACAAACAGACTATGTTGATGCAGACAGCTGTCCCGCCCCCAAACACTTTCAACTTTTGAAAAGCAACAGCAAGATAAAAGCAGATCAAATCTATTCGGAAATTTGTCCTTTGGCAATAAGCCTCTTATTTCTTACTTGGGAAAGAAGCTTTTGAGCCTCTACTTTCTTTCATCTCTCTCAGTGCCCACCTACCTCCCCATACTTGTGGGAGGAGGGAGGCTCTCCCACACCTCTCCTCTGCTGCCCAGCCAAAGGGATGCAAGAGGCAAAGATCAGACTCTACTTTTAAGAGATAAAAGCCAGTGCACTCCATTTGTAATGCCTTGCTCTTCTACCTGTGTTTTTACCTAGGGATCACCAACCACTACAGAAGTGCTTTGCAAAACTCTCTTGCTACTGTACTTAGCTCCAAATGGAAAATCAAGTGAGAGCCATCTGCTGTGTGATATTGCACCTCATCGACCACAATGGATTACAGGACAAAGGTAAAGGGCCCATGTGTTTTCTGGAATAGCCCCTATTTCTCTAGAATACATTACTTGTTTAAAGAACAATGAAGGTAAATTTGAAAATATAGTTTCTGAGCAAGAGTGTTCTCTCAGGAAGAGTTCTGGGGGAAAGAAACCTCAGGACCAACTTTATATGGTAAATGATGAATGACAGATCAGGAGACTACTTAAAAACATCAATTTTAAATAGTGCACTAGAACAGAATTCGCAGCAGGGGATTAATAAACTTAAATACTTTAAGAATCCAAAACTGGTCATAGAGTTAAATAAAGAGCTACATTTTAAGTGGGGGAAATTTCAAAGAACAACTGCAAGAATTCCATCCTTTTTGTGCAGTGTTTCAAATGGAGCGAAACGTCCAATATGAAACTCCAGTTACTTGGTCACAGTAAGGTTAACGAAATTCTGGGAGAAGAATCTGGGAATTTGAAATATCAAGTTCCAATGCCAGAATTGTTTCAACCGTCCTCTTTATTTCTAAATGTATCCTCTCACTAGCCTTTGTGTTTCTATTTTGTATTAACACAAATTAACATTTTTAAGACAGATAGTATTCTAAGTGACTCTGTCCTTCTGTAATTAGAAGTTGATCAATCTGCAGGGCTTCTTGTGGACTGCTGAAATGAAACCATGCAAAACACAATTCCTACAGTCAAGCTCTATTTGCAGGAACCTCATCCATCAAAGGAAGTTTGCTGACATACATCGACTGCCTGATTTGGGGCAGGATAGTGCATATAGCGTTTTATTTCTACTGAACAACAATGCTGTGTAACAAATATCAAAAATGCAGTCCTCCAAGCTCAGAGAGTTTGAGTGACTTGACTAAGTTTATACTACTCGCTGGTCAGAAAATCAAGATTGGGATGTAAACCTGACCAGATCAAAAACCTGTTTTATCTTTGGTAATTACTGCAACTGATGAGAGCAGAGAGGGCTCCACCCCAGCTTCATAGAATTTAGTCGTTTGCTGTACATACATCATAGTTTTATGTATGTGATTTAATAGGACTGAGCAATTAGAAGGTGGTGTTTGTTCAGCCTGAGCAGTAACTGCTTAGTGACTTGTTAGATTAAGAAGGTTTAAGTATGCCTAAGACAGTCATAGCTTGCATTGATTTGGTTTCAAGGGTCATTTGGCCAAGCTAGTGGTTTCCCACATCAATGGATGTTTTGTTTGTTTAACAGGATGCTAGTGGTGTTTTGTGGGAAGAAGCAAACCTAGCAGAGCATGTGAGAGTCTTTGAGAATTAATTTCTCTGAATTCTGCATCATTTTCAAAAACCTTATTGGACATTAATGCAGTAGGAAAAACTTCTCGAAAAATGTTGACCCTGGAATCAAATTTCATTTTATATTAAACTAAAAAACGTGTTTTAGCTGAGGTTTAATATTACTGAAATTTCCACAAATGCAACTAGCTTGTAAATTGAGACCCAATTTTACCTTTTTTGTTAAGAACGCTGCCAAGAATTGTTCACTGTATTGGAAAAGCACATCATGAGCAGCCATGCTGTAATATTTGAATTGCTAATAAAATAGATCTGTTTCAGCATTTTCCATAGCTGTTGCTTCATCACAATTCCATGTAGAGATGCAAGCATTTATTTCTTCGTGCCTTCTGCTATGGACCTGTGTGGTAGTTTACATAATGAAAAGCATATTGTTTTATTATAAATTCCTTTCCTTTTGTTTCTCCATTATATTATTCTTGGAGAAATATTTCTGGAAATTTTTATATGAATAAGTTAGTTTATCAATTATTCCAGTTCAAAATAGTAAAAGGATGTCATGAAACATTGATTACAAAAGGGTACACTGGGTCATTATAGAGTTGAAAGAGACTGGGCTAAGCTCTCATTGCCTACCTGAGCTATTTGACCTTTGGCTTTGTTAGTATTCCAAACCTCCTCCTAAAATTTTTAAGCTGACTTAGATCTTCCTCCCTTAGGTTTGGATAGTCTTTATTTTCTTTGTTTAAAAAGGAAATGATATATTCGTGTTTCCAATAAAGCTGTAATCCACATAATTCTGTCAGAAGGTAATATTGTCACAAGCTAAAACACATATTAAAACACCAGGCAAAGATTAGGAAGCCGGACAAAGCCAAGTGTTTACAATAACAGAGAATATAAAAACTTCCCATGAGTACTACTGTTGGTATGAGCTGATGGTCACATTGAACATAAGCATATATTTTGATTTTGTTTACATAGGATCACATTTGTGACACCCACTCAGAAGTGGTGTCCTATCTAAACAAGGGTGCCCTATATAAACAATTCAAATAAATTTTCACATAGGTGAATAACGAATATAAACAAAAATATCCTTTTCAACATAAAGTCCAGAAGTAAGAACTGGGAGCAACATGCACGGCCAGTCCCAGGAGAGTGGACAAGTGAAAATCTGGAGTTTTATACAGTAGACTAAAGCACTGGATTCAATATATTCATAGAAACCTGGAGGAAACTTAAATCTAATTGACTAATTAAAACATCACAGGAAAACATGCTATATAACAATATATAGCTTATATATTAAAAATATGTAATCAAAGATACATTTTGCAATAATATATAACAAAAATACATATTAGGCATATTTAAAGGATTGACTATACAGATAAGTAGAGTGATAATGTAGCATTAGGCTAAAAAGCAATAAAGAATTAATTTTTTAGTGATTCTTATAATCTATGCAACCAAATGCAATTTCAAAATTACAAGTCTTTTACTTGTGTTTCTTCAGAGAAAAGATAATGTCACAGTAGAACCAAAAATCCTCTCTGTGAGCATTCAGTAATCAGACTACTTTCTCCTTAACATTGAGCTGACCTGTACTAAGTGTCCAATAAGAAGTTCTTACAGGGAGTATAGCTTTACCCAGGCTGCCTTCTTCCTCAGTGTCCCTGTAAATTTCCCTACCAGCTGTGGTTTTCAAATAGCCTTTCTGACCTCCTTCCATCCTTATTTTCACCCTCTCCACCATTGTAAAAGTTTGAGTCAATTTAACAACACAGGAGCCAAGTTGGAGGGTGGAGGAAGGGAAAGACCTATTGCAAGACAAACCTGGGTTCCGTTTAGGATCTCAAGGGAGACAGCTAGGAACAACCTCCCCATAAACACTCAGGCTGGTATCAAGTGTCCCAGGAGGCTGTGTGGATTCCCACAACCTTGCCTGCACACAGAGTACGATTCAGTCCCTAGCAGAAATAACCTAAAAAGACAGGTCAAAAACAGGGCGATCTGGCTCTTAAAATCAATCCTTAAAAAAAAAAAAAATCTGAATTTTTTTGTATGGTCAACTAGTTATAAAACTGTTATTATTATAGAGGAAATTATCTATCAAAATAAAAGGAATTGTTTTGACTTAGATATTCAATGCCCATTTTGGGACAAAGAGTTTTCAGCAAAGCTTACCTTCAATTGAATAAGCACTGTCTAAAGGCTGCCCATTCTCCTTTAGTTATACATGTTGACCAAAAATTCAATTTTAGAGGCCCTGAGATGAAAATGGAAGATCCTTGAATATGGAGGTAAATATTCTAGTAACTGTAAAGGAATAACCCAATTATAAAAGATAGTACTGGTATGTAGTTTATGTGGAAGAGCCATGGAAATTTGCTTTCCATGTGTACATTAATCTAACCATCACTTGCTTTTATAAAATCAATTCATGAAACTGTGTAATTGGAATGTGGAACCCAACCAAAAGTGAGCCTATGTCTCTGGTCAACTTCCCTTTCAAGATACCATCTTGTCCTTTCTTATTCCTTTCATGGTAGCTCAATGGAATATCTGTCATGAAGCATTGTTGTTTAGAGGCATTGGTGGAAACAGTTTATATGTTAAAAAGCAGCATTCCCTGTGTATCAGTTTCTTTACTTGGAAGGATCATTGAACTCTACCATGTACTCTGCCATACCTAGCATATTATTATGTAGTCACATAAATGTGAAATGAATTAAAACCAGTAAGACCACAAGACTTGTAACTTCTACTCTGTAGCATGTCCAACACTCAAGAAAAAGCCTTCCTATTGAGGGTAGTTATTTTTTTTTTTTTGCATAGGCAGAGTGACAGTGAGAGAAGTGAGAGAAAGAGACAGAGAGAAAGGTCTTCCTTTTGCCATTGGTTCAACCTCCAATGGCCGCCGCGGCCAGAGCGCTGTGGCCGGCGCACCGCACTGATCCAAAGGCAGGATCCAGGTGCTTATCCTGGTCTCCCATGCGGGTGCAGGGCCCAAGGACTTGGGCCATCCTCCACTGCCCTCCCGGGCCACAGCAGAGAGCTGGCCTGGAAGAGGGGCAACCAGGACAGAATCCGGCACCCTGACCGGGACTAGAACCCGGTATGCCGGTGCCGCAAGGCAGAGGATTAGTCTATTGAGCCATGGCGCCGGCCCTATTGTAGGTTAAAGGGATATTGAAAATACTTTAACAGAAAAGGAAATAAAATAGACAGTTATAGGAGATGCTAAAAATATTCTTAACGTTATCTCCCCAGCTTTTTCTATAGTTCTTCACTTCCCTTTGTGAAAACATCTGAAGTCATACTTACTTTTCATGATGACTTAAATGAATTTCATTTAACACATTTCTCTCCTCAAATGGAAGACCCTTAGTAGATTGAGCATAGCAGGTATGTGAAAATGAAATAACTTCATTGAAGGACTTCCCTGAGTAGCAGATAAATAAAAGTTTGGATTGAGATTGTGAATGACCTGAACCTTTATTTGGTTAAAAAAAAAAAAATGGGGGCCCAGTGAAAGATAATTTATTAGAAAATTAGATGCAGGAGAAATAAAACAGAAGAGCATTTTAGTAACCATAATTTTAGTAATCACAGTGTTATGTGATATGAAACTCTTGGTCTGGAAGAAGTCAAGGAAACCATAACATCTACTTCTGCCACTTTTTACCTATGCAACATCTGACTAATTATGTAAACCCTTTAACTTTTAATGTTTTCCTTGCAAAACTGACATATGAGGATACTCCAAAAATTTGTGTATGAACAGAAATAAAAGATAACTGTATTTTGGTACCAAAACTGTGAATTCCATGTAATTTTTCACAACTTATACTTTCCAGGAACTTTTTGAACACTCTTTGTGTAGACTGATTGCAAAATCCTTTTCATCAGTATAAACTTATCTTTGAATTTTATAAAGTTTCTTTTCATGAACATTATAAAGTATCCACGTATTTATAATAGCCTCTCAGGGTTGTAAGGATTGGCATATTGCCGCACACATGGAAATTTTTTAAAACTGTAGGACAGTATTGGAGAGCATTGGTGTTCAAGGTGTAAGCTGAGTTTAAAAGGGTGAGGCATTGCAATCAGGGAGAACACATGGCCTGAGCACAGCTTCACTCTTCATCCTAATGATTTCATGGTTTGGGGCTCGACATGGAGCTTTCTCCAGTTGAATCTGAGCCAGTGTACATAACTCATTTGAATGAGATGAGTAAGCCGTATTAATGACTGTTTTGTGTCATCAACAACTGTGCACTCATATTCATGTGTGCCTCCTGGAAAAAAAAATGAGTGTGCTTTTGAGTGGCTGAAATTTTGTGACAGAATTTGGAATCATAGTTAGTTTGGATAGTGCTGAGAATGTCAGCCAAATAAACTGCAAGCAAATGTTCTACCTAGGAAATAGCAGCATGTGCCAAAAACGGTACATCTGCTAATGCAATGAGGATGCTAATAAAAATCGTTAAAATTTGTGAGGATTTTGGAATGTCAAATGATACATCTCTAAAGAGGCAGAATTCTCCTCTCTATTGCAGCAGCATCTGCTGTTCACATACACTTACCACACCCCAAGCTCGTTGCGTATATGGCATCCTATCATCTAACAACCTCTGCGTGGGACAGGTGTTATCCTCCTACTGATGCCTAGGAAACGAACTCAAAAGATGAGCATTTTTGTTGAAGGTTGTATAACCATTTTTTTTTTAAAGATGTATGCTATTTATTTCAATGTGGGCAGTAGCGGGGAGAGAGAACCTTTCATCCACTGGTTCACACTAGTTCACTCCCCAAATGACTTCCACTGCCTGGGCTCAGTCAAACCAAAGCCAGGAGTTTGGAACTCCATCTTAGTCTCCTTCTTGGGTGGCAGAGACCCATGCAGTTGGGTGATTATTTGCTTCTTTCCCATGTGCATTAGCAGGGAGCTGGATCAGAAACAGAGTATCTGGGACTCACACTGGTGCTCCAATATGGGATGGCAGTGGCACAAGAGCCTGCCCCAACTGTCAAGTGTGAAATTGCTGCTTGAATTCAGTTCATTTGTCTTTCAATGCTTTTTCTTCTCTCAAAATCCATGCTTGCTGCACCACATGGGACTGTCACTTGCCACCATTATTTTGGGGACAAAAATACTTAAATACCATGAAATATGTTAAGCTTGTGTGATAAAGGAAGAAATGCTAATGAATTAAATTAGTTTGATAATTATTTAGGTAAACTAGTTTAATAACTATTTTTATTACCATACTATCTTTAAGTGCATCATCTGGAAAATTGTTGCCCTATCAATTCTATTGTTTTGCTTTGCTAGTAAATTTCAACCTTCAAGAGTACCTGGAATTCCTATGTAGGTGATGCTTAATGGACTGAACTATATTTATGCCCTTGTCTTTGATTATCACAACATAGAGCTACAGCTTGAAAGAAGCATCATGGGGCCCTTAGGTTTGGATAGTCTTTATTTGTGTTGTGGCATAGTGGATTAAGGCATCACTTTCAATGCCAGCACCTCATTTCTAAGGGCTGTTTTGTATCCTAGCTGCTCTGCTCACGATCCACTCCATGTTAATGCACCTGGGAAGCAGCAGATAGTGGTCCAAGCAATTGGGACCCCTGCTACCCATGTGGGACACCTAGATGAAATTCTGTCATGAGAGGTCCAGATGGAGTTTCAGCTCCTGGCTTTGGCATACCCCTGTCCTGGCCATTGCTCACATTTAAGGGAGTGAATCAGAAGATATAAAATTCATTCTCTCTCTCTCTCTCTTTCTCTCTCTTCTCTCTTTCGCTCTGTGTGTATGTGTGTGTTTCTGTTTTTCTGGCTTTCAAATAAAAAATAATATTTGAAAAAACAGGAAAGAAAAGGGGTTAGCATTGTGGCATAGGATGTTAAGCCTCTGCCTGCCATGTTGGCATCCTCTATGGGAGTTGGTTCGAGTCTTGGCTGCTCCACTTCCGATCCAGCTCCCTGTTAATGTGGCTGGGAAAGCAGCAGAGGATGGCCCAAGTGTCTAGGCCCCTGCACCCATGTGGAACACTGGCTCCTGGCTTGGGCCTGGCCCAGCCCTAGCCCTTGAGGCCATTTGGGGAGTTAACAAGCATATGGAAGGTTCTGTCTCTCTCTCTCTCCTCTCCTCTCTCTGCATCTCTGCCTTTCTAATAAATGAATAAGTCTTTTAAAAAAGAAAAAGAAGGTTGTGGATATTGAAAAGCAGGAGCAGCAACAATAAAGCCAAATAAACACAAAAAAAAGTGACTAAAGAATTTCTCACTTAAAAAAGTAGAAGGAAAAGAACTATCACAGTTATTGTAGACAAACCACAGAAGAAATGTCTAATATTGAAAATTTCTAGAAAAAATATTCTCCCCTCTCCACTGACATTCATTTATAAGTGGCAATTATACACATGCAGTTTACATTGCCTGAAAGACTACAAATGATAGTCTTGGTGAGATCATCCCTAGTATGCACATAAGAAGGGAGTTCAAAAAGTCTGTGGAGAGGCCGGTGCTGTGGCATAGGAGACAAACACTCCACCTGCAGTGCTGGCATCCCATATGGGCACAGGTTCATGTCCCAGCTCTCTCCAATGTCCTGAGAAGGCAATAGATGACGATCCCACTGTTTGGGCTTCTGCACCCACGTGGGAGACCCAGAAGAAGCTTCTGGCTCCTGGCTGTGGCCATTTGCTTAACTCTGCCTCTCAAATAAATAAATAAATAAATCTTTAAACAAAAAGTTTGCGGAAAAATATAATTTAAAGAAAAGTTTATTTTGACAAGTGATTTTTGAAAAAGGTTTTTTAAACCTATACATAATGTTTCCATAACACACATTTTTCATGAATTCTTTCAAGAAACCTGTGGTGCTTCCATGAGTGTCTGGGGAAGAACAGCTACTAGCTAGGAAATAGTGACTTCCGGTGAATCTCACCCCTGCTTGCTGCCGTCGGAGGCTCCCCTGCCACATGCCCGCACTCCCCAGATACTCCTGAGTGAAGGCCTCTGCTCTCACAGTCAGGAGCGCCCACTCAGTGCTGCCTTCTACTGTCACAGCCACTTCCTTCTCCACCCTGATCTCCTGTTCACTGGGTCAGAACCTCTCTTGACCCTTCTGTGTTCTCTGGCAATACTAGCTCATCTCCTGAAAAACTGACATGTCAGAAGCATCCCTGTTTGGTTTCAAATAAATAGGTAGAATAAGTATGCCACGAGCTGCTGTTGCATAAATGTATTCTGAATTCGCCAACTCAGTGCAGATGGACACGATTCAAGTGTCTGGAAGAGGTGCATTTGGAGGCTTTGCTTTTGACTCAAAACATTGCCTTAGCTCCACACTAGGAGTGGTGGAGGTAAACTAGGGCTTTGTTAAGAAACTGAATTAATTGGGTGCCAGGAAGAGTAGATATCAAGAGCCTGTACTCTGTCCTTTGTGTTTTTTTTTTTTTAATATTTATTTATTTATTTGAAAGGCAGAGTTATAGAGAGGCTCCAATGGATGGAGCTGGGCCAATCCAAAGCCAGGAGCCAGGAGCTTCTTCCAGGTCTCCCATGTGAGTGCAGAGGACCAAGAACTTGGGATATCTTGTACTGCTCTCCCAGGCCATAGCAGAGAGCTATATTAGAAGTGGAGCAGCCAGGACTAGAACCAGTGTCCATATAGGATGCTGGCACTGCAGACGGAGGCTTTACCTGCTACGCCACAACACTGGCCCCCCGTTTGTGTTTTTAAAATTTATTTTACATTAACATTATTTTTA